ACACACACACACACACACACACACACACACACACACACACACACACACACACACGAAGATGGATGGGGAAATGCACAGGAAGTAGAAAGGAGGGGCATTCAGTTTGAAGGAGGTTGTCTGAGATGGTCTGGGAGAGGACTCCTGCTGGGATACTGGCTGAGAAGGAGGGTCAGCTGGGTGCTTTCTCTGCCTCTCTGACCTAGCAGGCTTTTGTCCCAGCATCTGGCCCCAGGGCCTTTATTGGTAAAATGGAAAAATTAAGGTTTTGTTAAAAACAACACTGAAATTAAAGGTGTACACCACCACTGCTTGGCTGGAGATGGTTTCAACACCACCAATTTCCTCTAAGTCCCTCTTACTGAGGATCTACCAACTTCTGTCCCAAAACAGGGCAACAATACAAACGGCTCTCTTCTTCCCACAGAAGAGTGAGCTGTATTAGCAGAAAATGTGTGTGTGTGTGTGTGTGAGAGAGAGAGAGAGAGAGAGAGATTGTGGGGTTTGTGTGTGGGGTAATAGTGGGGTACTTGTGAACGTGTGTACGGTGACAGTGGGGGTGATGGTGGGGACATATGAATGTCTATGTATGTGTATGTGGTGACGGTGAGTGTACAGGGAAGCCAGAGGAAGAAGTCAGTGTGTCCTATTCTATCACTGTCCACCTTATTCCCTTGAAACTGTCCCTCACTAAACCTGGAGACAGGTTTAGGCAGACAACATTCCAAATCGTCCTGTTTCCAATCCACACAGTACTAGGACTCCAGGCAGACCTAGCCATACCCGGGATTTGGGAGGTTTGACCTGACTAGGGCCTCGCCATCTATCCCTGTGGTCTGGAACTCACTCTGCAGACCAGGCTAGCTTCAAACTCAAGAGCTCTACCTCCTTCTGCCCCCTGAGTGACACGGTGCTGAGGCCTAGACTCGGGCTCTCGGGCTTACCCACTGGGCCACGTCACCAGCCCCAACAACAAAGGAATTCTTTCTGGGGTGATTTACAAGAACACCACGTGGCACTTCGACGACACACCTCTGGCCTGTGCAAGCTGAAGGCCACCAAACAGTGGGCCTGTACTGCTACCAGTGTCAGTGTGGTGAAAAGCCAACTACAGTCAAGGAAAATAGACGAATGACGAGCTCCCCAAACTCAGCCATGAATGAGAACGTCCCGCTCCCTGATCACACACGGTGACACGCTGCTGGATGAACATCCAAACAACTCTGTGAACACATTTTTGTTGTTGTTGTTTTAAATGGAAGAAAAGGAAACAAAAGAGAATGAAAAGATGGGCTCCACCTTCATGCAGCAGACTAATTCAAGCTACACTGTGTCAGGGCTGTGGAGAGGCACTGGCTTCGAGACATGCCATACATACAAAGGACAGACTGATGCGACCCTCCGGCTCCTCTTCAGAAGGTGTAAGGGCAGATCATCTTAAATCAGCTTAGGAAGGAAGTCTACCTTCACCGAAAGACTGTCTTGGATATCTGAAGTCCAAGTGTCAAGACTGGGGTGACAGCTGAAGGGAGTCCTTCACTTCCGCTGGAGATTCCCTGAGGATGTCTGTCCCCAAACATGGATAGACATACGACCAGGGATCTGTTCCTGGGGCTGGCTGTGTAGCAGAGATACCCTTCTGACTCTGTCAGACTACAGGACGCTGTATGGTCGGTCACACTGTGCCCACATTATGATGGATGTGAGGAGATGGCATTGACCCGAGGAGGACACACCACTGGTACTCACCGAGATTGTCTGCACCTCTAGGAATAATCACGTCAGCATATTTCTTTGTCTGTGGAGACAGATATTTACAACACATTAACGGCGGTGTTCAGGGACAAACCTGAGTCCCTCTCCAAGAGCAGAAGGAAAGAAAGTGTCAGCTTGGCCCTGGCAGCCGCCGAGGCTTTAAATGCAACACTAGGGAAGGCTCTTGGACACAAGGAGGGGAGCGAGGATAGACCTTCATGGCTGCAACGTGAATGCAAGGGAGGAGGAGGCAGAAAAAAAGAGTGAAGACTTTTACTTGACAAACAGGGAAAGCAGTCCCCACTGAATGGCTGATTCAAAACCAGTTCATACCCCAGTGCTTGACTGAATGACTGAATGTTTAACCCTGATTGCTACTTGGTATCCATATTATAATAAGTGATTTACACCCAGCCCTCAGATAAAGCCAGCAAAGGCAATACCCTGATGCTGGTTCCCCTCACTCCCTCTCTGACAACATTTTACAAAGTCAATTTTTAAAAATGAAACCATGCTCCTTTTGTGAGGTGCACTTTGATCGTTTGTTTACTGAGATTCCGTGGGCCACACTGAACGTACGTGTGCCCTGGAAAATGCACCCAGTTTTTCACACATGCCATGAGTGGCTCCTTGCATGCCGGAGTATCTTCATTCCTGACAACTGCTGACTCACAGCTTTGTCAGCCTCAGGCCCTAGACCTTCCTCAGCAAAGAGTGCCTGGACATCCCAGACATCCCAGAAAACACTTGCCCAGAATCTTCAGCTGGCCTATACTTGAGTTAAATGGAGGAACAATGTCAGTGGTTGGTTCCCAATGGTGAAATCCCTTTGTGTTCTCAGTAAGTCAAAAAGAGTGGGAAGGTTCTCAGGTAAAAAAGATGAAAGGAATTTCACAGCCCCTCAGCCTTGGGAGCCCTTTCCCAGAAACCTGATCTTGTAACCTAACCTCCAACAGGGTTAACAGGCAGGATGGCAAACTTAATCAGGTTGACTCAGAACACCCACCAGTCCCTGAAGGAGAAGGCCTAACCAACTTAAAGCAGACACGTTCATGATTATCTTCTCCAGGAAAGGAGAAAAAGCGCATGAAAAGATGAACCCATCTACTCTGAAGAGATTCCCAGACACCACTCTTCCCAAATGATCTCACTCAAACCGGCCTAAGTGCCAACTTCTCCCTCTCCTAACTATAAATAAAGGAAGCCTGCTTTGCCAGACCTGAGCTTGCTCAAGCTGGGAGGACACAGTGAGTCAAGATCCTCCTAAATTACACACGTCTTCCCAAACCAAACCTTGTTCCTTCTGTGTCCCCTTCCCACCATCCCACATCACACCTGGGTCTCTGGTAACTTCACATGCCCCATTTGGTCTCTGAGGAGACCCGTTTCTCTGGCTGATTATGACCCGTTTCTCTGGCTGATTATAAGAGAGCCATTCCCCTTTGGTTCTCGGGAAGCCATCTCCCAGGGAACTCCCAGGTGCTCCAGGGGGGATACAGTTGTGCAGGAGGGAGGAATCCAGCACAGACCAGCACTTCCCAAATCCATAGGCCAACAAGAAGTTGCACATGAACCACCCTCAGCCTGCCCCAACCTGAGCCCTGACTTTCTGCAGTCCTCAAGCTGGCTGAGGTCTATCGTGGAGGTGAGCTAGCTTCAGGTAAAGTCTGACAGCATACGACCCCCACCCCCCCGCAAGAAACGCAGACCGTGCTGGGAGACACATGGGGACTGGGGTAACCTTAAGAGGAATCGGCAAGGATGGCCGGACAGACCCTAGCCCGGCCCTCTTGGGACTTGGAGAGAAGTGCTCTCTGGGAGGGTGAGACTGAAGCCCAGCAACCCACATGCTTTAAATGCTATCACAGGAGCCAGAGAGATGGTTCTTGGCTCAGCAGGTAAGTGCTCTCCCTGCTCTCACAAAGGACCCAGCATGCACCCGGAAGCCAACAACTATATGTAACTCCAGTTCCGGAGGACCCCACAGCCTCTTCTGGCCACTCCATGGGTACTTCATTCATGAGTGAAGTGCACAGACATACACAGGCAAAAATACCCATACACATAGAATATAAAAATAAGTAAACCTTAAAAAAAAAAAAAAAAAGATTAAATCCTTAAATGTCATTAAATTATTAATGACATTTTAAATTTATATTATATATAATTTTATATATTAATAAAAATGAAAATAAATGTAAAACAAATATATAATCTACATATATTAGTAATAAAAATCATTAAATCATTAAATGTCAATATGTACTTTTAGCGGAAACAAAGACTACAACTCACTGGCAAGCAGAATTCCTCAAAGGCGGGCTTCACGAATGTGATATACTGTGATAAAATCTGCTCAAGGTCCCTCCCTCGTTCACTGATGTCCCGCAATACTGTAAGAGAAGGAAAAACAAAAATCAAAAACCCAGTGCACAAGGAAGTGAGGCAGACTCCTGCAGGTCGCCAGACCGACTGAGCCGGGCTCCTCAGAGCTTTGATCTAGGATGGATCATCAACAGATTCAGAAAAAACAAGCTACCAAAGCCTTACTACCATCAAGTTCTACTACAGCATGTTCCCTGCCATAAAAGTGGCCAAGAAGTGGCCAGAGAAGAGCAGGCCATTCGCCTGCAGAATGTTCACCTGCATTCCCAAGTCCGGCAATCCACGCTGCGGGTCAGCCAGTCACCCACTCAACACACACACTCCCCTGGGTGCTCACTTTGGGCACTGAAGACTTTACCACCTTCCCTCGGCCCTTTCTGGTGAGGGACCTGCAGCAAGCTTTTGAAAAGCCAGTTTTAAGGCCCAGGCCATCTGGGTTCCGTCCCCGAGCCCCGAAGACCTCCTGGAGTCCTGTCAATCACAGCCCTCTGCACAGCTGCCACTTTAGAGGCGAGTATCAAGTTGCTAAACTGTTCACCTGGATCCCAGAGGTTACCATATCAGAGTCACACCGCTTTAATTCACTGTGTGAGTGCGTGAGCTTGTAGTGCTTGGTGCCAGATTTGTCTCACAGGGCACGCTTTTCAGGAAGCTCCCGGGTTTAGCACCATGAAAGGTTTTGCCCTTCTGCCTACAGGACACTCCACAAAGACCTTCTGCTGCCAGAGCAGACCTGGTAACTCCATGTTGTGTAAGAGAAGCCAACGGGCTACTCAGTGAGCTCCAGCGGGACTGCTTGGCTCTCCTTAGCCAGTGAGTGTGAGCCTGGAGGAAAGTGACCTAGATTGGAGTCCTGTCCCCAGAAACTCCTGCTCCTGTGACCTTAGACAAGTGACTTATCCTCTTTGAGTCGTAGACAAAGGATACCTTATTTATGATTGGAGGGTGGGAGGAATCTCATGTAGCCTAGGCTGCCCTTGAACCTAGCTACGTCTTCAACTCATACTCCTGCCTCTAATCCTGAAAGCCAGATTACAGGTGTCACTGTGCTCGATTTAAGCAGTGCTATGGAAAGAATCCAGGGTTTTGTGCGTGGCAGGCAAGCTATCTACAAACTGAGCTACACTTCTAGCTCTGATAAAGCTGTCAGTTAAGATAACAGGGAGGTACAGGAAAAAAAAAATCCAGCAAGGCAGCTGGCACACAGTATGTTCAATAAGCCTGCCCTACCATGACAACTCCAGCACTTAGCACAACCTGGAGGGGACTCCAGGAGACTGAAGGGGCAGTAAGAACAGTAAGGAGTGGGGGCTGCAGAGGAACCCTGCTGAGCTGCTAAGACAGATGGGACAAGGTCCAGGAGAGGCAAGCAGGACAAACAAACAATGGCTATGTTAAAAGGGGACAATGGGAAGGAAGACTCACAAAGAAATGGGTTCCAGACACTGGGGACATGCAATAACATGTCACCTAACTCCTTCAAAGAAGTTGTCACCTTAGACAAGGATGGCTCCATAGCCAAGGGCATGCCAGGGCCAGCCAGCTCACTGCATCTGAAATGTCCTGCTACTTAGGTACTGCCAGGGAATAGAGCCAGATCAAGGGCTGAGTCAGAATAAGATCTTGGCACAAACTGGAAACTCCAGAAAACCAACACCCCCAGCCCAGCCCAGCCAGAGCCCACACGTGTGCTGGGAAAAAGTAATGGGCAGGAAGCTACAGTCTGCCAGTTCCCTGCCTGCCACTCAGCCCACCCAAATCTAGCAGTGCTCTTTCAGTTCTAAGTGCCCATACCCCATTTCTTCTCCACCATGGTGCTTCAGAGCAAGCAGGAGGAGCAGAGAGAGAAGCACTCAGGAAACTCGCTCACTGAGCGTAAGGGGAGCTAGGAGAGCCGGAGCCTCCCCGGCACTGAGGGACTCCAGGACCAATTCCTCCATTGTTGAAGGCTATGAAGATAGGCGCAAGCAATGTGCTCAGTTCTGTCGGAAAGCACTGCAGCCCTGTATCTACCTGCTCCTATTAGACATGGGCCCCGCCACAAAGCACCCTGCACCCCAAGCATATATCAGGCATGTTTTGCGTCCTACCTGGAAAGAAGGAACTTGTAGAAATAAATGGCTGCTAAGAAAACCCCACAAATCTACCAGGAAAGTAGGCGCTTGGCAGGTGGGGATGTAAATGAGGAGGCAGCAGCCTGCCCACGTGGCAAGGGGCAGGCAGGGACTGGCCAAAGAGAACCCCAGGGTGAGCTGGGTACACATGGGGTACACACGCCCTCAATCTCAACACCGCAAGGCAAAGGCAGGCAGATCTCTGATTACGAGACCAGCCTGTCTACAGAGCCAAGGCTACAGAGAAACCCTGTCTCAGGAAACAACCTCCACACCATTTCAAAGATTTCCCATATTCATATAAAGACCCTCTCCCTGCTCCAGGCCAAGAAAGGAAAGGAGAAATTTTTACTTAACCTGCACCATGATGACCTGATGAGTCAGAAACCAAGACTCAGTTTCCAAAAACTTTACAACTACTCCAAATCTCTTTCTGATTCCCTAGAGGTTATCTGTGTTTCCGTCTTTATGGTCTAGTGAGCCAGGGGAGCACAGACTCCTGGGGTCAGACTCTCCCGGAGGCCCAGCAAAGCAGCAAAGAAGATACCAGCCACCTCTCCAGAAGTCTGACCTGACACTAAGCAACTATCACCTAGTGCCCTTTCCAACACTGTCCCTGCATTAACTCTAATCTGTCCCTGGAGGGCTAATCCCCTGATGATTGTGACAGAAAAAAATAATAATAATAACAAGATTCAATGAGGTTAAAAAAGCTTGCCCTAGGGCACAGATCCTATGGGGAATGACGCCTGAGTGTTAGCTCATTTCACCTGGCTTTGAATTTGACTTTAACTTGGCAACCATCGGGGACAGTGAGCCACCAGGTGAGGAAATTACTGGGCGACTCTGTAAGGTGACAAGCCAGGCGATGAGTCAGATGCATGGGAGGTGGGGAAGCTCCAGAAAGACACACAAGCCTGGGGCATCCCCAGAGCCACCAACATCATAACATCCTGCCTGCCGGAACTAAAATCACGTCCCTCCTAACCATTCTCCCACGACACAGTGATGCCTTTGCTGCTCCCCACTCAGATTTGAAGTGTGGCCCCAAGTAAGCACGCATCCCATGCCTTAGCAGGGAAAAACCCTAGACTAGTTTCTCTCAGTTCTGCTGGTCCCATTAACAACAGCTCTCGCCAAATACTATATTATTACTCTATTTATGAAGAATGTCCAATAACTCACTTATTTACCTACCAGCATCTGTCTGAGACAGGGTCTAAACTGGCCTTGAACTACCTATGTAGCTAAGGATGACCTTGAATTTCTGATCCTCCTACCTCTACCTCCCCAAGTGCATTATGGTTATAGGACAAACACCTGTTTATGTAATGCTGGGGAATCGAACTTAGGACTTCACAGATGCTGAATAAGCACTCTACCCACTGAACTGAGCTGTATCCCTAGCCCAAGCTACTTCCTAATGTCTACTCTCCCTTGTATTCTCCATCTACATGCTGTTCAGTATAGGTTGTGTCTGTGTAGGTAATGCAGCATTTTCTCTAGTTGGCTGCACCAGTCCCATTTCACCCCTATGACCTGAAATGATGACCCCCCCCCACCCCAAAAGCTTCCCAGTAGAAGCAAATGGCTCAATACCCTACAGAGCTCAGATCCTCACTCAGTTCTCTGGCTTCCGAGATGCACAGACTGAACGCAAGCACAGGGACACTCTCAGGAAGGTTCGCCAGGGAATCTGATCCAGGGTTGGCTAGATGGAATGAGAGCACGCAGAAGCAGATGGTGGAATAAGGCGCCCGACACCACAGGCAAAGCCGGTCCCTGTCCCCGGTTGCCCTACAGTCACTTCAAAGACCAAGGCATCTTTTCTTGATGCCTTCCTTAAGGGAAAATAAAAAGACCTGAGCCTTTAAGCTAGGCTACTCCCCCAATGAAAATAGGTGTATGCCTTTCTTTATCTAAACAGTGGAGTGACTAATTCCTTCCTAAATGTCACCAAACACTGAGTAGCAGGATGTCCTGGGGGTTGGGCTGATATAACTAACCTGGGTCACAGGGCCACCCAGCTGCATTAGGGAAGGTCCAGGCTCTAGACTCAGGGAGGGAACATGCCTCTCACGGGCTCCCAGCTATCTGCCAAAGCGGCCACCAAGCAGGCCCTCTGAAGCTTGCTTACAGCACGCACCTCTGCGAGAGAGACGGGTGTCCGCATCCGTGTCCACGAAAAGCTTCATCTGGAACAGGTCTCGGACCTCCTGGGAGTAGAAGGCCAGGATCCCTTCAAAGAGCACCACATCCGCAGGGTAGATGGTGACCGTCTCCTCTTTCCTGCAAAGCACAGAGCATGATGGGACTGAATGGCCACGGAGCCGGGGCGGCAGCAAGTATCAGAGCACCTGCTAGGCTGGGGTGCCGGGTTCTCTCCCACCACAGACCTATGAAAGGAGAGGGACTTGGCTCCTAGCCCCAGATGGCTCAGTCCACCACCACACAGACAAGAAGGAGTTGGGACAGCTAGGACAAGTTCTTCCGAACTTTTGCCATAAGGCAGGAAGCCTGGGCAACCACCGTTCTTTAAATAAATGGGTTGAAGATATGGACAGAGACAAAGGCAGGTGTGCGTTCTAGCTTCTCGGAAGGAATCCGAGAACACTGTCATGCCTGGCACCTCTGCAACTTCGAATTCTAACCTTTTAAGAGTCAGAAACTCGGTTCTTGCTGTACAATTTCCACCCACTCCTCTACACCTGAGACAACTGAAGAGGAGGAAAGAACCAAGGGAAAGAGGCAGGGAGGGAAAAGGGAAGTTCTAGAGGGTGGCAAGTTCAGAGCTACCGGTCTACCTCGTCCCAGGGCCTCATCCTTATTGACAGACAGCTCATTCACTCACAGGGCTGGGCAGCCCAAGGCCGATCCTAACGTGAACACAAGTTTTCAAAAGCCAGATGGGTGACAAACTTGCAAATTAGTCATGGGACGCAATTCTCACAGACAGGCCTGTTCGGGGCTCCTCTGGCCTCTTCAGTGAATTCTTAGCCTCAGATAAGACTCATGCCCAAAACCTCCTTACAGGCTCCTACTGCTTCTCAGTTAACACTGTAAAGTTTGATTCCCTAATGAAAGTGAGCTAACACTGCAAACAACTTTTCAGTTCCTTAGGCAGCCTTCCCTATGCAAACACCGAGAGGCCGGCGGAACAGCCCACTGAAGAGAACGCTGTCCATCCTCCATTTCCTCGGGACTGTATCTAAGTCTCAGGTGGGCACCTCCTCCTCCTCTGCACAACCCGGCCAAGACTCCTTTCCAGTACATTCCAATTCCTCCTCCCTCCTTAACACTACTGCACGGGCTCTTTCCTCCTCCAGCTGCACTGGACTTGGAAGGAAAGCATGCACTGGAGTATCTCATCAGCTGGACACTCACTTCCCTCTGAGGCACAAAACTCGAGTTGCCCGGATCTCTTTCCCTGTGTGGAACCAGGCTGCACTACTGACAAAGACTCAGAAGAAGACAGGGAAAACCCAATGTTCAAAACAGAGGGACAGAGACACTTTGCAAACACTCTACAGGCTGGAGGCCAGATATGGTCTTTCCTGCACTTGTTTTCCAGGAGCCTCTGTACCTGTTCCAGTGGTAGCTCTGAGACTTGTTTTCTCTTCCTGATGGCTGCCCCCTTCTGAGTCATCACTCCTCCAGCCCCTGACATGCAGCGTAACTCCAATTCCTACAGTGGACCCCATTATTCCTGCATAATCCACGGGGGTTCAGTAAAACAAAGTTAGCATGATACTTAGTGTTAGATTTCTCCAATCCCCCACAAGGCAGGAGACGCTAGTGAGGGAACAAGACAGCCCCACCATACACTTCACAGAACCCTCACCTTCACGTCTCCTCACCTACCTCATCCCTCACGCTCTGGGTTCTGATTATGTGTGCACTCTAAGGCCCGAGACATGCAGGGCAGGACAATGCAGAGGCAAGGGCTAGGTTTATAATGACAGGAACATCTGGTAAGAGGTTTACAGATGAGCTCTAGTTTCTTGTTTTAAAAGAATTCAACTCAAGGGAGAATGGTACAGAGTAATCAGAAGAATGCTAAGCCGATGAAAGGAGCTTTCTAACAGCCACAAATAAAGACATTTACTGAGCCACTACAAACCCAGGTACAGGGAGCCACGCCTGGGAACAAGCCATCTAAAAGTTCAGCTTATGGCTGCAGAGTCCCAAAGGGTTCCATGTTAAAGAGTTCTGAAGACTCGTATCTGGCCAACAAGAGTCAACATTCTTAAACTTATCCTCACACTGGGGGGCAAGGAGAGTGCACTCAGAACCTGATCACTCTGCAGGAACCCCACGGGAGGGACTTCGATAGAGAAGGTGAGTCTTTCCTGGTGGAGATGCCATCTGGAGAGATGGCACTAACTTTGGGACATGCATCTGATGGCCTCAGACCTCTCCACACGGTCCAACTGCAGTTACAGCGTGAGAGCAGAGAGAAGTTGCCTTCTTCTTTCCCTGTCCTGCCTTTGGTCCTCCCCACGACAACTTTTTTTTAAGGATCAAAGATTCAGAGACGTACATCCCAACAAACACATTCACCATTCCCTCACCAGCCCAAAATACAAGTCCGTCCTTTATAGAGAAAAATGACCCAACCATTCCACAAGGCATCTATTGTACCTCCTTTTAGACTAAGAAAGCAACAAGTCTCAAATATTTTACACTGGTATGGATTCTTGCCTGTTGATAGAAATCTAAGGTTATGGGCTAGAGAGATGGCTCAGCGGTTAAGAGCACTGTCTGCATTTCCAGAGGTCCTGAGTTCAATTCCCAGCAACCACATGGTGGCTGACAACCATCCAGTGAGACCTAGTGGCCTCATCTGGCGTGCAGGTGTACATACAGATAAAGCTCTCACATACATTAAATAACTAATTAATTAAACGAATAAATAAGTAAATAAATGAGCAAATGAATGAATTAATTTTTTCAAAAAGAGATCTAAGGTTTTATTTTGCTGCAACATATTGTATTTATGTTTAAACTTATTTACAGAATTATAATTATGCAACTCATTAAAAATATCATATAAAGTCCGAATCCTTGAAAGTTACTATTGCAAACAGTTTAGGATAAATAAGAATTAATTACCTATAAATAATCAAACTTTAGTCTTATCAGGTACTAGTTTAGTTAATTATAAAAAAATAAGCTTTATTTAGCCTCCTGTATATTGTTTTCAAAGTTAAGCAGAGAGTAAGTAGGTAGAAACTAGCAACATTTGTCTACTTAAAAATACTGAAATACATACATAGATGGTCCTCAAATACTTCAGAGATCTGCAGAATATAGCATTTAAGACGTTTTAATAATAAAAGGCAAGCCACGTGCAGTGGCCCATGCCTGTAATCCCAGCACTTGAAGAGGCAGAGGCAAGAGGATGCCTCTGAATTCAAGGCCAGCCTGGTCTACAAAGCAAGTCCAGGACAGTCAAAGGTACACAGAGAAACCCTATATTGAAAAATAGATAGATAGACAGACAGACAGATAGATAGATAATAAAAAAAAAAATAAAGAGTTTTTCTGACAGAGAAGAGACACTTCAGCTCCCAGCAGCAACCTCCATTCTACTCCAAAGAAGATGATGGGCACCGAAGAACCTCCATATGGAGCTTACTTCAAATGTGGCAAAGATGGCCACTAGGCAAAAAAACTGCCCTTACTTCAACTGCTGACAGCATGCTTTCCAAACTTTGGACAAGCAGGACACTGAGAAATCAAATGCCCAACTTTGCCAAGACAAGGAAGGCCAGTCTTTCAAACTTTCTGCTTCACAGAAAAGTCTATCAGATATTCTGGTAAAGATTGGATGCCCCACCAATAGAGAGGAACCTTGGGTGACTGTCCAAGTAGCCAGCATTCCTGTCATGTCTACGGTTTCGGAAGCTGCTTTCTCTGCACTTCCTATTTAATTAGGTAAATGTTATCCTTCTCAGGTCAATGATGGGTTGAAGACTTACAGTTGGGTTGAAGAGTTAGTCTTACAGTTTTCTTTGTTATCAGATACAAAAAGAAAACTGGTTTTCTTTATAAACATAAAAACTGGTTTTATGTTTATAAAGACATAAAAGCTTAAGTTATAAGGAGCTATGAAAGTGTTTTAGGTTCTAAGATGTTTTAAAAATGGTAAATACAAGTTGTGTAAGAAAGTGATTTAGGTACAAAACTTTGGACTCAACAAGATAGGATAAATAGTGAAGTACTTTTTCCAAGGTTGCCAGATACAAATGGACTGGACTGAACATTGTAAATATAATTCTTACCTGATAGATCTCATCATAATTGTTGTACATAGTTTATTGATGTTAGAGTAAAAGCCATTTATTGAACTAAAAGGGGGAAATTTGGTGAGAGTTTTGGTTTCTTTAAAAACCCAGTTATGTCATGTGAGTATGTTTTTATTTTAATCTCAGGTGTGGACTATGAGGCCGCCTCAGATTGTCCAAAGTTTCATAGCAGGTGACTATGATTTGCCTCATGCTTTCCTGCAGTGGTTTGGCTAGCTGCAGATAGTCTGCTGAGTGTGTGGAATTCTGGGAACTTTTCAGAGGTTATATAAGTACCAGGGCCCCCAGGGGCGGGATGGCTACTGCTGCTGTTGGCTGGTTGCAGTTTGTCAAGTAGTCATGTGTAGAGACGAAAAGAAGAAATCCAACATCTTGACGGCAAAGGTCAAACTTGTCCCAAGGAACCCGACACCGCTGATGAGCAGGAAGTAGTGTAGAGAGGTCTACGACCCGTTTCCCCTCGACCTTTTTCACCTACCTAGGGTAGACCCAGCTGTGGACATCCTCACAGAAGATGGGGAAGGAGGTGGCGTGCATACCTGGGACACTCCAGGCTACACCAGCTAACTCCCTCCGGCCCAGCCTAGCTCACTTACCGTGAGTGGGAGACGAAGTCATACACAGGGATCTGGACTGTTTTTCCTTCAGTGATCTCTTTGAGTGTTTTGAAGATGAGTTCATTGTCAAAGGCATCTGAAGGAAATCAGACTATTAAAACAGCTCGATTTTAAACTAACTGGTCCTAAAAGCACAACAAAAGTCACAGCCAAAACTTGATGCCCCTCCAAAGCTAATGTCTACCTTTGGTAGAATATAAACACTCCCTGGATCTTAAACAGGGTGTGTGAATGAGCTCTGGCAGACTAATCTGTTGTTTGTTTTCTGCTCTCCAGAAAGGCCAGCTGGGTGCCCAGGGATTGGCACAAGCTGATCAGAAAGTGCACTCGTCACTAGGAAGAATCACAGGTCCCGTGCCAAGAAGGGCTGAGTCCCAAAAATTTGAGACACCTAGACCATCTGAAGGAGCAACCTGCTATTGATCTAGGCTAGCAGCAAAACTCATTTAGGGGGCTACATTAAGACACCCCATTTCCCTTCTTGCTGGTCCCCAAGCAGAACGCATGGGCCAAGTGCACACAGAAAAGGGGGGGGCGGGGGCACAGGCTGCTACACAACAGAAGGCAAAAGGACCAGTTGTGTGTTTGCTCCTGGGGCTGGCCCATCTCTACCCAAGCTTACATGGTCCACCTTCATTCAAAACAAACTCAATGAGCTCTCTGCAAAGCGTTCCACAAACCCACTCTTTCCTCTAAGCACACGAGAACCCTTCAAGGTGGTCCTTAGGCCCCTCACAATGGTGTAGACACGACAAACAAGCTGAGCGAAGACCTTCCTCATGAACACAACCACCACCCACTCCACCTTCAACACACATCCTCCCAACTCCCAGCTCACCCGGGTGATCGAAGTTGAATTGGCCCTTCAGGGCTTTGGCCTTCTGCTCTGAAGTGAGGACTCGGTAGAAGCTATCCTGGCTCAGGATGACCACCTGCTTCTGGCGGTGATCCACCTCATTCTGCCCCAGGAGCTGAACGATCTTAGCACAGACGGAAGACTGTGAGGAGAAAAGACAACAGCCTGGAATAAGAGAAAGTGTGTGGAGGAGCCGAGACAATGGAGGTGCAGGTCTCTGGGCTGGATGGAGCCTCCCTGAAAAGAAGCTGAGACGGAAGAGGGCAGCAGCTCTGCTGGGAGGGCCAGCCTGCTGAAAGGAAGGCCAAAGGATCCCAGAGTCCCTTCCTCCTCCTCAGCACACCACCACTCTGGGTACTTGGTGCTAGATGTGGAAGCAAAGGCCCTGCCTCCTCACCTGAAAGTCGGTGAGTAGGTGAGTGAAAACGGAATGTTGAGTATTACACTCCTCCTCTTGTGAAGAAACACAAAGGACACCAGGAAGTGGAACTGAAAAGACGATGCTGACGGGCCAAAAGAATAAAAAGTAACTACAGAAACCCAGTGCATTTGGGCCCTATAGTCTTCAACAGTGCAAGAGCCACAGCAAGGGCTGGAATGATGGTTCAGCGATTAAAGCTTGCTGCTCTTCTGGAGGAGCCGAGTCCCAGCCCCAGCACCCAGGCTGGGTGGCTCACATGAAGCTCCAAGTCCACTGAAGCCTCTTCTGGCTTTCAAAGGCATGCAGATACACACGTGTGCATATAAATACGAAGATGATAAAATCTTAAAATAGAAAGCACTGCAGAAGCCGATGGGAATGATGGCTGAGTGGGTAACGGCGCTGGTCACGAGGCCTGATAATCTGTAGTGAACCCATGTGGTAGAAGGGAAAGAATGAACTTCAAAAAGTTGCCCTCTAACATCCACATACATGTACATGAAGGCACCCACGCACGGACACACATGGGTGGACACACACACTAAAAATGATGTAGTAACAAAATGAAAAGTGAATGCCTTTAATCCCAGCACGTGGGAGGCAAAGGCCAGCTTGGTGTACACAGTGAGTTCCAAGAAAGCCAGGGCTACACAGAGAAACCCTGCCTCGAAAAACAAAACCTGGGACCTATTGTATAAAACAGAGAGTGCTTGCCTAGCATGTGTGGGGTCGGAGTCCAATCCCAGCCACTGCACATAGAGCTGAAGGTGGTAAATTTCATAATGTTTACACCAAATCAGAAACAATCATTAGGCCAGGCAGTGGCACACGCTTTTAATCCCACCACTAGGAAGGCAGAGGTAGGTGAATCCTTCTTCGTTCAAGGCCAGCCTGGGCTACACAGTAAGCTCCAGGACAGCCAAGGCTACACAAAGAAACCCTGTCTTGGGGGAGGAAAAATCATTAGCTGGGTATGGTAGACACTTGGGAGTCTGGCACACGGCGAGCCTAGGCTACACAGTAAGACCCTATCTCAAAAGAACCTAAAATAGGAAGTACTATTTCTGTGACAAACTGGGCTCCTCTCTTTTAATATGATTTGGTTATTATGGCCTTACATGATGGGGACCACCAGTACGTGAGCTTGGCTGACAGGCAACACTCAGGTGAGGGAGGCACAAAGGCTGCAGGCAGGCTGCTCGGCCCAGGCCCCCAATGCCACCCTCTAACAGACACCCTGGAATAGTACCTAACACAGCCTGGGGGAGCTCCAGTGGGGCCTGGTTTTACATATCTTCATCCTCTGTTTGTGTTGTGTTTTTCTGGAGACAGGGTTTCTCTCTGTAGCCCTGGCTTGCCAAGAACTACCTGCCGTTGCCTCCCAAGTGCTGGAATTAAAGGTGTGGGTCACCATGACCCTCTATAGCTCCATCTTAATGCATGGTCACCAAAACAATTATGTCCTTGCCATTTCCCACACACTGAAAGTAGGGAGGGGACTAGAGAGGTGATCAGCGTAAGAAGACTTGCTGTTCTTAAGCCCAGAGGTGGTCTCAGGCCAGCCTGGTCTACAGAGCAAGTTCCAGAACAGCCACGGCTACACAGAGAAACTCTGTTGGGGGCAGGGGGGATGCTGGCTACTCTTGCAGAGGACCTGAGTTCAATTCCCAGAACCCACATGGCAGTTCCAACAATCATCTGTGGTTCCTGTCATCCCTGGGTACAGACACACATACTGTGTACAGACACACATGTAGGCAAAACCAAGAAATCTTTAAATGTTATTTTTAGAAAACAGGAGAACTTGCCTACTGCCAACTGTGAGCTCCCGTCTGAATACAACCAAATATATGACGTGTTCAGTCTGATCTCAAGCTTCCGCTCACACACACTCCTCTCCATCTCTCCAGAGTGCAAGTGGGTCTGGCATCAGCTCCGATGTTCTCCAGATTTCTTCCACTTCCGGCAGACACTGGCAGGGAAGGGAGACGCCGGGGACACTGAGCAGACATGCAGGAGCAGCCAGCTAATTAACTCACTGTGTTAAATGCCACTGAATTTCATGTAACTAAGGCAGGGGAGTAAGCTCCAAGTACATACACAAAAGTTCTAGAAATGCTATGTTCAGAAGAATCCAGCTGTTGGGAGCCAGTCACTACAGGCTAAGTGTTCCAAGTGTGCTAACAATGGACTCCTTTCTCAGAGACACTGTCACTGCCCCTCGGGAAGCCCCGAATTGTCAGCTAGCCTCCGGGACCCTCCAGCTGGCACTTCCTAAAAGGGTAGCTACTGAGCCTGCAGCACCGTTTCTGGACTAATGAGAGGCTTTCTGTCTAAAAATCATCCTCACACAAGAGACGGCTCACACAGTGTGGATGCCATCTGGCCATTCTATTTGTAGCAGTGTGTCTTCCGGGACCTAACCCCGTAAGATGCTCCTGGCTGGTTCCAGTACTGCTGAGGGAGCAGAGCACTGAGGACCGATCTGCGTCTTTGCCATACACCTTCCAACCCCAGGGTTGTACATGCTCTGGGCAAGGCCAGGAATGGAGAGCTTGGTGGCCCACCCTGGGGAGGGTGGAAGGCTGTGTGGGGAAGGGAGGGCCCCTGGAGGAATGGAGTGGCAGTTCTCACCAGTGGCCTCACAGAGACACCTTAGCCCAGCATGCTGTAATCCCATCAAGCTGCCTGTCATGTCCGGAGGAGTCATGCCAGAGTCAGAGGGAGGGAAGCCTGGCAACTAGTGTGTCAGGCTGAAGGGAGCCAATCAGCAGGTGTGCAGATTCATCACTTCCTTCCCCCTCAGCGAACGCTCACCCTGAACAAAACTGACCTATAGGCTGGTGGTGGGAAAAGGCCCAAGCATGAACAGACATCCGGCCCCTTGCTCTGCTACTGTGAGTAAGTCATACCAACTGCTCTTCGGTCTCTCCCTGTTACTATCATTACTAAGTTCTATGGCGTCCATCTCAAGAAGAAAACATCATGGCCCCCAGACATTATATCACTCCTTGGGGGCCAGGGGTGTTCCCCACACACCCAGAGGCTCTAATTTACAGGCGTGAGAACATCAGAACACCCATAATTTGCCCTGGCCACAACTGAAAACAGAGTTCAACTCTGTTAATTCTAATAGGAGCAAACCAGCGTGGCCACAGGAGGCATGTCGCTCAAATACTTCCCTGGAGTAGCCAAGAGCCATCCAGTCTTGGAGTGGCTGGCCCCAAACCATGCATTGCTAAGCAGGCACACTAACTACAAAGCGCACTTGCACGCACAAAGCACACACTCAGTGCACAGACACAATCTATGAACGCATAAGGGGCTCCAGGACCCCAAAGAGGCCACAGATCATTCAGTTAACCCGGAATTCCCAGAGACCAAAGATCAGTTGTGACTCAGCTTTTCTCCCCAGGGAGTGGCAGGGCTTTGGCACAGAGGGGTTGGGGTTGGGGGTCCCAATTCAGCAGAAGCCCTTCTCTTTAGAGCCAGCATCTTGAAAGTGTGTGCCGTCCCTTTTTAGCGCCAGCCGCGCTCTGGAGTACTCTCCTCCTGGATTCTATCCTAACCGACAGAAGAACACGCACATTTTAATAGAGATGGCTGGTTGTGTGTTCCGACTCTCAAGCCCTGAGCATTAGCTGGGCAGTGACAGTCCTTCCCTTCCTTGCAGTCCATCATCACGCTAAATTCTGGTCACTTGAATACACAGAGGTCTTAATCGAAAGGTTCCAGGAATCTCCTTAAAAAACCCCTCTTTTTGTTCCTCCTAGTGAAGACTTGACAGCTGGAGCTTAAGCAGCCAATCTGAAGCAACTACAGATGGACAGCAGCGAAATAGAAGTCCAAGAGTCAAATAATCACAAATCAATGTTCAGAATATATCCTCCAAAGTCCTGCTGAAAGTGCTTGTGGGCATGATACCAGCGGAAGGTGGGGCCTGGGGGGTGTTCAATTTCCTTCCTATTGCTGTGATAAAAGACCCTCAAATAAATAGGCAGGCAGAGGGAGGGAGGGAGGAAGGGAAGGAAAGGAGGAGACAGACAGACAGACAGATCAATCTGAGGGACATTAACACTCCCATAGGACATACTGAGCACCAGGAAACAAGCTGAGAATTTTACATACAGTCACTCCTTGACACCTCAATGGATTAGGTCCAGGAACTCCCCTAGACACCCAAACCCTGCTGATGCTCAAATCCCCTCTATAAACTGGCACAGTATCTGCATATAGGCCCCCTGGGGCTTTAAAATTTATCTGTAGATCACCTATAATACCTCATACAGTGTAGCAGCTATCGTGCTGATACATGCACACACACGCGCACACCTTCCATCCAACTTTGATAAAATATAGATAAAGAATGTGCTGGCTAGTTCTATGACAACCTGACACAAAAAGCTAAAGTCATCTGGGAAAAGGAAACCTCAATTAAGAAAATGCCTCCATAAGATCAGGCTGTAGACAAGCCTACACGACATTTTCATAATTAGTAACTGACTGGGAGGGCCAGCCTATTGTGGATGGTGCTATCCCTGGGCTAGCACCATCTAGGTCCTAGGCTCTATAAGCAGGCTATGCAAACCAGTAAGCAGCACCCTCCCCGGCCTCTACACTAGACCAGCTCCTACCTCCAGGTTCCTGCCCTGCTTGAGTTCCTGTCCTGACTTCCTTTCAAGATGAAAACTTCTATGAAGTGTAAGCCAAAAAAGCCCTTC